ATTCCTTTTTTGAAAATTAGTTTTTTTTAAAGCAATTTGTATTTACTCTTGAAATGTTAGATAATGGAGAGTAGCAAAAGGAGAAAAAAATCCTACTTTTTATCACTCAGAGACAACTTTTTATAGTGTGCTGTATCCTTGAAAAAGTATGAAGACTTCTTTCCAGGTGTGTGTGTATTTTTCTTTTAAACAAAATGTATCATATTCTGTATTTTTTTTAGGCAACCTGCCTTCTCCTCAGGCTGCTGTCATTTTTAAAGTAGAGTGAGGAACTCTCACCCAGAGGAAGTCTCTCCCTTTCTGTCCAGTCCCTGTGGTTCCACGGTATTGGCGTGTGTGTCTACTTCCCAGATCTTGTTCTGGGCCCTTGCGGGTTAGAGCACAGCTGTGAAGTCTTCAGTGGGAAGAGAAAACAGTCAGAGTTCATGTAACACTGTGTGTCCCCCCGTCCTTCTGTGTCCAAACCGGGCATACATGAGATGCCTGGTTTACTTTTATTAAAATTGAGGTAACATTCACATAACATACAGTTTAACATTTTAAACTCTACAATTCAGTGGCATTTAGTACGTTCCAAATATAGTGCACACCAACAGTACATGCCACTGTGTCAACTTCCCAGAACGCGTTTAGCATCCCAGAAAGAAACCCCATAGCCATTAGCAGCCACTCCCTGCTCCTTCCAGCCCCTGGAGACCACTGATCAGCTTTCTGTCTCTAAGGAGCTGCCTATTCTTAGAATTTCATGTAGATGGAATCATATGACATGTGACCTTTTGTGACTGGCTTCTTTCACTTAGTACATTGTTTTCAAGTTTTATCCACATTGTAACATGTATCAGTACTTCCTTCCTCTTTATGACCAAATAATATTCCATCATATGGGTATTCCACCTTCTGTTCATCCATTAATCAGTTGATAGATATTTGTTTTTTCCCCACCTTTTGACTATTGTAATGCTGCTGTGTATATTCCTGTATTAATTTTTGTTTGAATACCTACGGATGAAGGAGTAACTGCACCATTTTATTTTTATTATTTAAAAAATATATATTTTTATTGATTTCAGAGAGAAAGGGAGAGGGAGAGATAGAAACATCAATGAGAGAGAATCATTGATCGGCAGCCTCCTGCACGCCCCCTACTGGGGATTGAGCCCACAACCCAGGCATGTGCCCTTGACCAAAATTGAACCCGGGACCCTTCAGTCCGTAGTCCACACTTTATCCACTGAGCTAAACCAGCTAGGGCATACATGCACCATTTTATATGCCTACCAGCAACATAGGAGGGTTTCGATTTCTTCACATCCTTCCCAACACTTATTTCCATTGAAAACATTTTATGACTGCTACAGGGGCAATGGTCGGTATCTCACTGTGGGTTTCATTTGCATTTCCCTGATGACTAATGATATTGAGCATTTTTTCATGTGCGTATTGGCCATTGGTACATCTCCTTTGTAGAAATGTCTATTCAAGTCCTTTGCCCATTTTTAATTTAATTTAATTTTATTGTTTTGTGGTAAAAACATACATAATGTAAAATTTACTATTTTAACCTTTTTTAAGTGTACATCTCACTGGCATTAAGCACATTCACAATGTTGTGCAACTATCAACACCATTCATCTCCAGAACTATTTTCTTAAAAAAAAAGAGACAATTTAAAAATTTTTGTTTATATTTGTTTTAAAATATATATTTTTATTGATTTCAGAGAGGAAGGGGGAGGGACAGAGATAGAAACACCAATGAAGAGAGAGAATCATTGATTGACTGCCTCATCACGCCCCCTACTGGGGATCAAGCCCACAACCCGGGCATGTGCCCTGACCCGGAATCCAACCACGACCTCCTGGTTCATAGGTCAGCGCTCAAACACTGAGCCACACCAGACAGGCAAGACAATTTTAAAAAGCGGTTTTAGGTTCACAGAAAGCTTAAGAAGAAGGTACAGAAATTTCCCATATCTCCTGGCCCCACAAGTACACAGCCCTCCCCAATATAAACATCCCCACCAGAGAGGTACATTTGTTACAACTGATAAGCCTTCATTGATATTGACACATCACTATCACCCAAAGTCTATAGTTTACATTAGGGTTCATTTTTGGTATTATATACTCTATGGGTTTGGACAAATACATAATGACAAATACCCATCAGTATTTTCACAGGGCAAATGCCTGGGTTGCAGGCTCAGTCACCAATAGGGGATGAGCAAGAGGCAGCTGATCAATGATTCTCTCTCATCCTTGATTTCTTGATCTCTCTCTCTCTCCCTTCCTCCCTGAAATCAATAAAAATATATTTAAAACAAAAGTTTCCTAATTTATTGTTTTTTTTGTTTGTTTTTTGTTTTTTATCATGAAAGGTGTTGGATTTTTGTCAGATGCTTTTTCTGCGTCTATTGAGACCATCATTTGGCCAGTTTACTTTTTTTCCATCCTTGGAAGTATTGGGTTGGAAACTCAATCTCTGTGGTTTTTCAGGATTAAAACAAAAGAGTTATCGCCAGGCCAGTGTGGTTCAGTGGTTGAGCATCGATCCATGAAGCAGGAAGTCAAAAGCCCGGGTTGTGGGCTTGTTCCCCAGGAGGGGGCATGCAGGAGGCAGCGTTCCATGATTCTCATCATTGATGTTTCTATCTCTCTCTCCCTCTCCCAGAATTCAGTAAAAACATATTTTTACTGTCCTCCCCATAAAAAAATTGCATACTCACAGCTGTAGTAAGTTTTTAGGGCAGATGAAAAAACAAAGCCAGCTCCTGCAGTTTGGGGGAGAAAATGACTGAAAATGTGGTAGCACCAAGTTAAAGAAGAAAATTCAGGTGTGTGATTGCTTTTCGCTCTATAGAAGGGAAAAAGCAAAGAACAGGAGGGTGAAGGAGAGCATCCACAGTAGGCTGCTTTTTTAACAGTTTGCTCTGACAGATTTTCTGTAGGGCGTGTGTCTTGCTAGCAATGGTCTAGGACAGTGATCAGCAAACTGCGGCTCGCGAGCCACATGCGGCTCTTTGGCCCCTTGAGTATGGCTCTTCCAAAAAATACCATGTGCGGGTGCGCACGTACAGTGCAATTGAAACTTCATGACCCATGCGCAGAAGTCGGTATTTTGTGGAAGAGCCACACTCAAGGGGCCAAAGAGCCGCATGTGGCTCGTGAGCCGCAGTTTGCCGACCACTGCACTAAAAGATTGGCCTTACTAATAACGTGTACCTGGCAGCTCCCCATACTTGGAGGACTTTGAAATATCCTCTGACTGAGTAACAGGTGCATGGCTGATGGTAGCTGGGTTGATGTAGTGAAAGGAGGTGAGTGGACAGGGATGGAGAGGACAGTTTGCTACGGGGCCTTGGGCAAGTCACTCTCCCTGTTTGGGTCTCACTGTAAAGGCAGGAGATTCCGCCACCAGAGGAGTTCTAGGCTCCAGGTCTATGAATCCACCCATGACAGGGCTCATAAGCTGTCTGCCCAAGTGGCATTTCTCTAGACAACCACGTTAGAGTTTTATATTCTCAAAGCCAAGCACAAGCTCATTAAAGCCCTATGAAGACTCACCAGGGAACCTGGCTGAATTACGACAGCTGCTATTACTGGTAGCAGGCAGATGGGCTCTTATCAAACAGGCAGGAAGCACCCATTTGGGGACAGAGGGTTGAGTGGCTGTTGAAACAGGAGTTACTGATTTCCAGAGCTTTTAGCGATGAAGTGAGACAGTGCCTAGGGGTTAGAGGCCATCCCCGGGCACACAAAGGTAGTAAAATAGCAGGTAGGTTTTATTTAACACAATCTGTGCTAAACCTTTTGCCTGCATTATCTCAGTTAATTTTTACTAGATCTTATGAGATAGGTACTGTTATGCCCATTTTACAGACAGGACACTGAGGCCCAGAGAAACTGACTTGCCCAAAGGCACAAGGAGTGTCTCGGGCTGTCTGGATGCGCCTGAATGTGCAGACTTGACTTACGGGGATATAAAGGCCACCTTCGCCAGGACAGGGAGCAGGGGATCCCTCAATGCGGGATCTGGGATTCCAGGTTGGTGGCCCGCGTGTCTGAGGGTGGGGGAGGAGAAGGAATGCCAAAAATGGGCGACTAGAGGGGTGCGGAGGGCAAAGGGGGCCGAAATCTGGAGGATCAGGGGTGTCCAAGGCACGAGGCGCGGGTACCGGCAGCGCGCGGAGGCGGGGAGGATCCGGAAGCCCCGGCAGCAGCTCCGCCCCGGCGAGTCCAGCCGCCCGCCGCCCGCGCCGCGGGCTCAGACCTCCCGGCTCGACTGGCGGCGCGAGCGGCGGTGCGAGCGGCGGTGAGTACGGCGAGCAGCTGGACGCTAATGGGGGCGGCGGGGGCCCCCCGGGCCGGGAACGCGGGTCCCTGCGGCGCGAGCACCTGCCCGGGATTCGGGCGCAGTTGAGGCCGGGAGTGCCGGGCATCGTGCCGGTCGCGGCGGCCCACGAACCAGGCGGGTCCCGGGGTGCGAGACCGGGCGGAGAGCGCAGGGCTCCGGCGGGAACTCTCTCGCGGGCCGGTTTCCAGCCCCCAGCGCTGTCTCGGCCGTGGGACAGGCGGGGTTCCGCTCTTGCGCCCCGAGTGGGCCGGGCGCCCGCGGATCGCGTGCGGCGGGGTCGCGCCCCTGCGGGTGCGCGGTGCTCCCTCCGCGGAAAGGACGTCCCGAGTCCTTTCAGGAAAGTCGGGGTTCGCCCTGGCGCCCGCGATCTTAAAGTTGAGATTTCCAGAATCGTCACCCGGAGATTTAGAAACAAAACCAAACAAAACCCAACCAGTTCCCGGGACGCAGGTCTCAGAAGTTCGGCTTCTAGGGGCCACGCCATCTGCGCTTTTGTCCTCTCCTCGGGAGAGCCCCTCCGGACCCAGGACCGCCCTTAGTGGGTGCCTGTGTGGACACCTGAGGGCTTGGGGAGCTCCGGGAAGTGAGAGTCCCGGACCCAACGCAACCGGAGCCTTGGCGGGCCAGGCGCCCCGCCCCGAGATTGGCGCCCGGTGAGCGCAGGAGTCTGCCCATTCCCGTCAGGATGAGCTGGTGGCACAGGCAAGGGAACCTGTGGCAGAGGCGGACATTGCCCCTCCCGCCAAGCGAGGCAGGGGCCGTCCCCTCAGCTTTCCAGGTCAGTGTACATCTGGGCAGTGGGTTGGGTGTTATGCCAGGAGCTCCTGATCCAGGTCAGGGCGGGGGTGAGGGGGGGGCGGTGGGGGGGTGAGGCGTGTGTGTGTGTGTGTGTGTGTGTGTGTGTGTGTGTGTTGGGGAAATGGTGATTCATGGAAGGGCCGTCATTTCAGGGAGCGGGCCTGTTGGACCTTCACTAGTTTTCACTTTTGTCCTTTGGGACAGTGGGGCTGATGTCACTCACCTTGCGCTGTGCTTTGGTGGTTGGGAAATCCCGTTTCTGGAAGCCACAGGGCATTCCTGTGTAAACCATCAGGTTAGGCTCTCCCACCAGTCTTCCCATGGGGGCACATCTCTCCCCTCCGCCTTGGTTCAGGGCTGTCTGGGAGGAAAGTTGGCCCACCGTTCTCCTGGGGCCCTTTTAAGGAAACACCATGGTTTGCATTCATGTGAGCCTCACTTACTTTCCTACCCCTACCCCCAGGGCCTTCTCGGGGTTGCTCCTTTAAATTGAGACTAACCTGGATGCCTGTGAAGAGAGATTGTATCTGGGATTCTACCACCGTTTGGTTTTTATCATAGTTGGATCAGAACCCAGAGAGCAGGTGACTCGCTCTATCTGGCTAGAGTAACACCCATGCTGCACTTGGCTTCCCCCACAGCCAGGCCTGGCTTTGGATTCTAATGTGCACCAGACTCTCTGAGAAACACTTACTGTAGATCTACAATGGGAGAGGCCCATCTTCCCTCTTTCCTATTCCTTTAAGGCATTAATAATAGATGCTTTTATTCACTTTTGAAAAAGTATCCTTGTTGTAATGTTTCCCTGGATTAAGTGACTTGGTGATTGATCTGAGCCGGAGGATCAATTGGGTAAATCTCTAAAATACTAGACTGAAGTAATTTGCTCTCTTGGGTGAGTAAATTCCCCGTTGTTGCTTCAGTCCATTTTATGGGCTGGCTGGCTGTGGGGAAATCAAGTGCTACCCTTGCCCTGGAAAGGACACAGAAGAAATGGTTTTTGGTCCTGAGGGGTTTTCGCTGTGGGTGGAAAGTGGAAACACACAGTTGTGAAAGAGCCAGTGCTCACTAATGCCTAGAAGGGGGTTGGGAGGTTGGGAGGGAGGGTGCTATGAGCTTGGGGCCAGGCTAACTAACCAAGAAAAGTTTAGTAGCAACGCTGAGGCCTGAGCACCTTTGGCTGAGGGACATGTGGACACGGTGGACAGCATTCCACATTTTGTAGAAGCATCTCAACAAAGCTTCGGAGGAGGCACAGACATGCCCAGGGTTAAGGACACTAAAAGGGGAACCACTGAGAGGGAAGGAGCCAGAAGGCATTTCCAGTCCAAGTTGATTTTCAAGGACATAAATGCACTGTGGCCATCCTCCCCCCATGCTGACCAGAGGTGTGTGTGACCAGAGGTCTGAGAATAGGCTGGTGCCCAGCAGGGACGTAAAATTCTCCTGCCCCAAGTGAATCTCCCCACAGCTGTAGATCCACATGAGGATGCCCCAGAGTCTTGGTGTGGGACTCGTCCTCTGTGCTGCTTTTGCTGCTGTGAAATAGCCCTGTGGGTGAGGGGATCCGCCTCTTCAGGCAAATAGACCCCCTTAACTCTGTCTCTCTTTAGTACAGGCGTGTCTGTGATGTCTTTGGTGCTCATTGGGCTGCCCATGGCCTGTTCTGCACTTGATTGGTGTTTACTTACCGTAAAATTGTTATTTGAGCCTGAAGTGGTACTTTCCTGAATCCTCAAAATTTCACCCTGTTGTTTGAATCTGTGTGGGTGCTCTGGGCAGCTGTGGTAACACTTCCGTACCTAAGGAAATTCTCCCTTCAACTTATTTCAGTAGAAGAACTGTGTGTAATTTCATAGGGTTTAAGGCATGGACAGAATCGAGGGTGTCTGTAGTGATTTCCTGCTCATCTCCTAGTACAATGATGGTGAACCTATTTTTTTGGTTGATTTTTCTTTGTTAAATGGCATTTAAATATATAAAATAAATATCAAAAATATAAGTCTTTGTTTTACTATGGTTGCAAATATCAAAAAATTTCTATATGTGACACGGCACCAGAGTTAAGTTAGGATTTTTCAAAATGCTGACACGCCGAGCTCAAAAGCTTCGCCATCACTGGCCTAGTAGGTAGGAAGTTAATTCACCAGGATCCTGAGCGCCTGAGGCACTTTCTTCTGCATCGCTTTCCTATTGGTGTTAACTGATGGAGAATTTAAACTATTTAGCTCAGGGAGCTTTAAAATTGACCGTGTTTCTGGGGTAAATTTAAGAGTTTAGCACTGCCTTGCCTGAACCTTGAGCCCAGGAAGGTTACTCATAGATGATGCATTGCTATTTTTTAGAGTGATATAGAAAATAACAGTATTACAGAAAGTGTGGAAGATAGGAGAAAATGAGGCTACTGTCACCATGTGAATGAAACGGCTAGCACAGTTTGTTTGTTCATTCATCTGCCTGGTCTTTTGTCATGGTGCCTGTTTTTTTTATGAAGTTGCAATCACGGTACACACACTTCTGTCTCTTGATGCAGTCCCAATCATGTTCTCATTGCACAGTTTTATCAAAAGCCATCATTCCTGTGGAAACTGGGGCTGTGGTTTCAGCAGGAACCCAGAGGGAAATTGCCTCTCTGGTTCTCCCCAATCGAAGCATTTTCCATTCCACAATTCACTGTAATTTGTACTCGCGCTATGTTCGAACCCGGCTTTCAGATTGTGGTAAATTTATCTTTGACTTGTGGAATATACCGCCCCGCAGAAACAGATTGGATTCAGAAGATGGAATTTGAAAGCATTTCTCTGAAAATTTCACTGTGATGAGCTTCTGTATTTTTATGGAAGGATCCCGAGTTTGAATTTGTTGGGGGGTCAGATAGCCTAACAACCATGGTACAATTTCTCACTTCCTTTCCCGAAGATGGCTGGAGCTCCCAATATCCTCTTTTGTCTAAATTCTTTCTCCTTATTAACTTAGAGTTTAAGAAACATCATTTATGTTGGACATTTTCTGGAGCAGCCATCTGCAGGTTAAATTCCATTACAACAAAAACAGCCTTGCGGAGCCTTCGTACTTTAAAGATGGCTAGCCAGTGGCCCTTACTTCAGGAATTGTGAGTGATACTCGATTTAATAAACGTGTGTAAGTGAAAGAGTTCCTTAGGACGTTTGTAATCAGGTTTCACTTATGCTCACATTGTGGTAAAGAACCTTTTTCTCCAGAGACAGTAACAGACCAGCTATTTGGGGCCTTCCCCAGCTGGTCCTCCACTTTGTGTACAAACTGAGCTATTTTCTTTGGAGACCTGACCATTTGCATGTGTGCCCTTCTTTTGCCGAAGGAATGCTTTCTTTCCTGGGGTCTCCTGGGGTCACTTCTGCTCGGCACATATTCCGGGATGTCTCCTGGGTTTCTTTTCTGGGGCTGGAGAGTGGAGGCGGGGAATGGAACTGAATAATCTTCCTTTTTTTCTTCCTGAAAGAACTGATTTTAGAGGATTAAGTTGGTGGTGAAAACACTGCTTTATCTTCTCTCTGAAGGCCTTGTCCTTTTGTGTGTTGGTCTGATACCTAAATCTAGAAAACAGCTCTATACACATCATGAAGATGTGTTTTTAGAAGAGTTTATTACCAACATGTGGTTAAGACCACTTTGTGCGTCTTTTAAAGTCTACACCTTAAGGGAGAGGGTACAGATTTGTGGGGTATTGATGTATATGCAGCTGGTAGGAGTTTGGGAGATTCCTTAAATCTTAAGGCCTGATCATTCCATTAAATTTGGGGGTATATTTTCCTTTCTTTCTTAAATCTCCCCAACTAGAAATATTAGAAACCCTAATTTTTTTAACCTCCCCAATTAGAAATATTAGAAACCCCGCCTCCATTTAATCTTTTGTATTTAACCAAAATACACTTAAAAAAATACTTTCATTTTTTTAAAACACACACACACACATACACACACACACGTATAATTGAACTTGAATGCCTTTGGATGAGGCCTGCCTGCCCCAGTTCACCTTACAGTTTAATTTTAGATTTGCAGGAAAATTGCAGTTAATACAGGGGTCCCCATATGCTCTCACCCAGTTCCCCTGTTGTCAACATCTTACGTCATCACTGCGGTACATTTGTCACACTAAGAGACTGACATGGGTACCTCACTGGTATCCAAACTCCAGTTTCCCACTGATGTCCAATTTTCTGTTCCACGATCTCATCCAAGGTACCACATTGCTTTTAATCCCCATCTCCCAGTGTTCTCTGACCGGCTAGTTTCTCAATCTTTCCTTGTTTTTCAGGACTGTGTTTGAGGAGTACCAGGCAGAGATTTTGTAGAATTTCCCTCCAGTTGGGTTTGTCTGATGTTTTTGTCATGATTACACAGGGGTTATGGGTGTGTGGAAGAATGGCACAGAGGCGAACTGCCCCTCCGGTTACATCACATCACCTGGGGGTACATGGTGGCTGCGTGGCACCTTCCTCGCTAGGTGAAGCTGGGCTTTGCCAGGGTTCTCCCCTGTAGAGTTACTCTTTTTCTCTTTTCATTTATTATTTAAAGACAAGATACTAAATCCAGCTCCCACCCAGGAGTTGGAGGGAAGAGATTAGGCCCCACCTCCTAGAGGGGAGGGTGTCGATGCATATCACTGGGAATGCTGTAAGGAAGACTTGTCTTCTTCAATTAAAAAATGCACACTTCAGCCCAGCAGGTGTGGCTCAGTGGTTGAGCATCACCCTATGAACCAGGAGGTCACATGCCCAGGTTTTGGGCTTGATCTCCAGTAGGGAGCGTGCGGGAGGCAGCTGATCAATGATTCTCATCATTGATGTTTCTATCTCTCTCTTCCTCTCTGAACTAAAATAGATCCAGAAACATGGAATCATTGAATAGGCCGTCGAGCCTCAGAGGGAAGGCAGGGGAGAGTGGGTGGGAGTGGGAAGGAAGAGATCAACCAAAGGACTTGTATGCATGCATATA